TTGGGCAAATTGTGTTCCTTAGGAAAGGTAATTTAGTTGAAGAAAAAGTTCTTGTGTTTTTACCGTTTATAAAAATATCTCATCTGAAATATATATTTTGTGTATTTACTCATATTGGGATGGAGTGGTAAAGACAAGAAAGCAAAATTTCAAATTTCTATGAATTTTTGGGCGGTTTTACAGTACGAGAAGGTACCTATATCTACGGATTCATAGTATAGGTACGAAATTTACTCATAACCATCCTGCACCCACATACTTCTGGAGCAAAGCCGCCAGATTCGTCGATAATGCAATTTTTATATCGCCCAAATAATCGCAAGTCACAAATGCAAAATTTTTATCGCATAATTGATCTAAAAATCGTCCAATATAACGAGGAACAAATTGAATAGCCCGTTTTATTATAAAATATGAATTTATACGCATATATGGAGATAGTTTGGGGCAGTTTATAGAAATTAACAGAATATGTTGTCATTCAACCAGCTCTTGAGCCTAAACGGCTCTCTTTAGCAGAAATATGCTCGTAACATTTCTTGTAGAAAATGTCTTCATCTTAAATTTTTATATCTTCATATTTTTCCTAAAAACGCACCGTTTTGGAGATATTTTCAAAAAACCGTTTTTGAACGCCATCTTGGCAAGATGGCGGCGCCGGCGGCATGTCCCGGAATGTGCATTTTGTGAATTTCAGTTCTGGACACCCAAAACTATAATCCTACAAAGTTTCAAAACTTCCGGACTTTTTTCCAGGTAAGCCTTATTTTGGATCCCCAATGACTGAACTATATAGACAGTCTAAAATACTCGCCGTCTGAATTACTTATGTCTCGGAAGTTGCATGATCTATTACCAATCACTCATGATCAACTACAGCCAAAACTTATCAACTATGAGAAATACAATACAAAAATCATCGAAAAACAGCAAAAACAGAAACATTATTACAACAATGGACAGAAGAATTTGAGTAATTTGAATTATAATCAGAAAGTCAGGTTTCAAAAAATTCCTTGTTCAAGTTGGTCATTTGGTAGGATTACTGAACAGATTAGGCCTAGAACTTACAAACTTGCATCAGAGAATGGTGGACAACTTGTACGCAATAGAAAATTCATCGAAATTGTACCTGATAATGATCCACCAACAGAGAATTCACCAGTTGACAAAAGTACAAATGATGACTTGGGTAACGGTATTGATGTAGGTCAGGGTGTAGGTCCTTGTACCAGCAGTGGTAGAGTTGTTCGAAAACCAGACAGGTTAACATATGATTTTTTCAAACAAAATGGGTAATGAAAATTAAACAGTTATGTTTATACAGTATAGTGTTCAGTTAAAAATGTATAGGGTATAGCTATAAGGTATTATTATCATATTACAATTTTATTTGTAACAAATTATATAATTAAGGGAGATGTTGTGTAGTATATATTTGGCAACACTGTATCAGGGCCAGAGGCATAGTTGAGTTGGTAATAAATTCAGTTGATCTTTAACTCGCGTATTATTAACATACACAACAACGTCGAACATTGAATTATATCTGATGAACATTCAAAAGGGGAATATGAAAAATAAAGAATAAAATCCTCCGAAATTGAGAATTGACATATAGAGAATGCGAATTCTCAATGTATTGCTTTATATAAATATATATCCATTTTTGTATGTTCATAATTTATCTGAGAATATACCTTTTCAACACTTTTATACCCAATCAGGGGGTTCAAACTTGAACGATGGAAACTTGTGATTTTTATAGACCTCTAATCGCAGATTCGTGATAGAGTCTCAATTCAGAATTCATTTCCACGCCCTGTATGATGAATGTCAATTTATCATACACCCAAAAGCAAAAACGTCCAAATGACAGGAATAGAATGTCAACAAATTTCTCAGATGTCATTTCGTTATAGTTTTACTCGATTTTAGTTGTATTATATAGAGATGAAAATTGTGTATATCATGAAGAATGGCTGTAAGAATAAGTGGACATCATGGTTACTGATGAGGATTCTGAGATCCGAAATGGGTTCATTGCAATAAAGTCATATAACCTGTGTGTGAGAGATAATATTTCCCATATCACTGATATGAATGATTATTTTTGGACGTTTTCAAGCTCATCAAGATCAGAGTTCATGCCAGTATACTTCTCCTATACATTCCAATTTTCATTTCAATGCTGAATATATTGGTAAGTCATATTTCTAGATCATTATTCATCATATCATTCATCCGATTCGAAGAAGAATGTCAATTCTCAATTTCGGAGGATTTTTTTCTTTATTTTTCATATTCCCCTTTTGAATGTTCATCAGATATAATTCAATGTTCGACGTGGCAAATAGCCAGGAAAGTAGTTGTTTTCTGTTGAATATTCAGAATGATATGTGTATATACCTATTTTTGTCTGAAGGAGAATGCAAATTCTCAATTTCAGAAATTTTTTTTATATTTTATTTTCAAACTCTTATCGTATGTGTTCAATAGATTTAATTCAATGTTCGTCGTGGCATATAGCCAGGAAAGTAGTTATTTTCTATTGAATTAACTGAAAAAGAGTAAATATTCTCATCACATATAGAGAATGCGAATTCTCAATGTATTGCTTTATATAAATATATATCCATTTTTGTATGTTCATAATTTATCTGAGAATATACCTTTTCAACGATTTTATACCCAATCAGGGGGTTCAAACTTGAACGATGGAAACTTGTGATTTTTATAGACCTCTAATCGCAGATTCGTGATAGAGTCTCAATTCAGAATTCATTTCCACGCCCTGTATGATGAATGTCAATTTATCATACACCCAAAAGCAATTATTCAACTCGATTACTGGCCTAGTAGTTAAGGCGTTGATCTGATAGCCTGAAAGTCCCGAGTTGGAGACCGTCTTGGGTCAGCTTTTTTTGATTATGAAAATGTATTAAGGAATATTCTCGGAATATTCATTTATTTATATTCCTGTATTATTCCTGGAATATTCCGAATATCATCTGAATATTCCTAGAATAGTATAGGTACATTCTGAATATATAGGGAATATTCCTTGTGTAATATTCAGGGAATATATAAAATTTGCCCCACCAGCACATTCAGGGAATATTCCATAGATGATATGTAAATCCCTGGCATGTTCATGAATATTCGCAATCTCCAAAAAGAATATTCGCAATATCTAAAAAGAATATTCTATGAATATTCATGGAATATCTGGTGCTGTCTGGGTTGTTTGAATATCGAACTTGCAAACCTTGGATCCTAGTGCAGGCTTGTTCGAATTGATGCACTGAGGAACCGATGGAAAGAGAATTGAACACCCTTCAAAATTATGTGCCACTTGATCCATCATCCCATTTGAGATCAGCGTAACATCTATCTTCGCTAGGATATCTCATTGAGGAAAAATAACTATTACTATTATACAGGGCAAGTCATTAGGAACTGTACATACTCCTACCACGAATAGAGGCCTCTGAGGGAAATACCGAATGTCCATCAGGAACTGTCTTCTACACCTATTTTCCAATATATAGGGTAAATTATGAGATTTCGCAAAAATATCTTTTGGTCATAACTTTCCAAAAGCTTCTTCGATTCGTCAGATTTTTTCATGGAATATTCTGATACTACTCTCTAATCGACTGACTTATGCAGAATCGGGAAAATCCAGGACCGTTCTTGAAAATCTCTGATAGTCAAGTTTATAGCAAAAAGTTCATCCTGTATATCGTTTTTGTGAACTGTGACAGAGAATTTTTAAGGGTCACGAACAAACATCAATAATAAAATAATTAAAATTTTCATCATACATTCACTGCAGTTTGAAAAAAAATAAATAAATTTTATGAAAAAACGAAAATTTGGCAAGAAACTTATCTAATAATTGTGAGTAACCCTCGATTTTCTGTTCGACTATCTCGAATTTTTTTAATCGATCACCATCAACATCTAAACAGATACTCCATTCACTGATTTGGAAAAGATCTACAGGGTGATTATTACCCTCCACAAAAAATGAAATGACTAAATCCAGGCCTGGAAATGAGAGAACATGTTGATTTCCATTGGACTAAAGCATTGAAAATGTGAGTCTTACTTTCAATTGTAAAATTTAGGCGTTGCGAAGTGATTATTATGAAAAAAATTTTTTGTCAAACTATCGTTTTTGCTTATAATTCAGTTTTTTGAAAAATTCTGAGAAAGTGTGAGGAGAATTTAAAATATTTTATTTTTGATGTTTGTGTGCTTTGAAAATTCCCCGTCACAGTTTACAAAAACCATATACAGGATGAACTAAACTAAACTATCGAAGTTTTTCGAAAACGGTTCTGGAAACGGTCCTGGATTTTCCCAATTCTGAATAAATAAGTATATTAGGGTTCAGTAAAGGAATATTTCATGAAAAATCAGACGAATCGAAGGAGCTGTCTGAAAGTTATGACCAGAAGTTTTTTTCCAAATCTCGTAATCAACCCTATTGTATATTGGTGAAGAAGAGAGGAAGACACTTCCTGATGGTCATCAGGTATTCTTCTGAAGGGCCTCTATTTGTGGTAGGAGTATGTACGGTTCCTCATGACTCACCCTGTATACGCAGTGGTACTTTATAATAGATTCATATCGAAAACGGTGCACGTTGTCGAAATTTAACAAAAGTAGGTACCATTTTCCAGCAAAATAGAGGACATTTCCATATTTTCTGGTCAAACTGCCGTAAGTAAGGGAAAAAATGTTTCAGCCTCTCCTATTTCCACACCCCTGAAAAAAAATCTGTCCTGTCCCAACATTTCCATATTGGTCATAAAAAGTTGATAAATGAAGAGAATTTTGTTATTTTATAACGAAAGGTTTCGAAAATATTCACAAAGAATCTACATCCCGGGCTCGCCTTCATATGAGTCCAACCACCTCATTCCATGATTATAAACTTTTCCAAATATTTTTGTCCATGGAATGTGAAGTTGAAATTTCATGTAGTTTGCGCTGTATGAATGCATAACAATATTTTGATATTTCAAGGTGATGTTGTACTATCTGCTCTCAATTGCTTCGTATGAATGTCATTATAAGCAATAGTGAACACACTTTTTTTCTGAGTGATGGGTGGTCTATTCAATACGATTCCAGAATCATTATCTTCTTCTGGCTTCTTGATAGTCTTATTTTTTTCAGGATACTGCACCTCAAACCTGCGCTCAGAATGTTGCAATAGAGGGTGTTCGGGGCCTACACTGTTTTTCTTAGCATCCTTATCTTTACGAGCATCGGCTCCAGTATCTTTACCAACTCTAGAACTGGCTGCGAGCTTACTACCTACTACTTCGACACTTTTTTTCGCATTCTGATTTTGTCTTGCCTTCTCATCTCTCTTTTCGTTAGTATCACTCGTGGGTTTTTTCTTATACCATTCCATATATCTTGAACCTTGATGTTTAGTTGTGATCTTTCGTTGTTTTCTTTCAGTTTCAGATCTAGTCAAATCAATCTGGCTCCTAGATTTGAATCCGTTCCTTCGCCGTCTTAGTGAGTCCTGTTTTCGACTTGGAGATACCTGCCTTAGATCAGACTCAGAATGGTACTTTTGCCTGGCAGAATCTGTACTTGTTTTGTCAGATCTTGGAGTGATTTCCAGGCTATCATCTGAAAATATTTCTCGCTTTTGATAGTACTGCTCTTCTCCATCACTTCTCATTTGCTCTAATGAAGCGGATATCTCTTCGAGAACTTCTTTCCTCAAGCCATTTGACTTCGAAGATCTTGATTGTGATGATCTAGTTCCACTGGAGGCTCTACTTTTTCGTCTTGTCCGCAATTCACTGGTCTTTGTTTGTCTATACATCGTATGATTATCTTCGACAGGTTTTTTGATTATTTCAATCTCTACCTCTTCCTGAATTGGTGTTCTTATTTCTCGTTTCATTTGGGATTTTTTTCCATGTCGTCTCCTTGCTTTAGCTTTCACGGCAGAAATTTCATCTTCATGATCACTTGGGTCGCTCTGATCATTATCTGATCTAACTTTCCTCAGTGGAGGTCGTAAATATATTGGTTCTGTTTGGGTTTCGGCATCTTGATCCGTCTGCGTACCAGCAGGTAACGACTGTGTTTCTAATCTCAAGTCCCTCTCACGTTCAAGTAGAATTTGACGCAGTAAAGCATTTTGTTGACGCAAGGAGTTCTCTATTTCTTGTTCCGCTTGGAGTCTGTTGACAGTATTAGGAAGGAAAACCTGAAAACAAAAAACCCTTCGAAGAAAAATGTCTGGAATATGTTTATTTCTCACCTGTGACCGTGTTCCTTCAGTCTGTTGTTCCATAAACCTCCTCATGAGAATGTCTTTTCCACTATCGGCAGCCATATACGGTGGATCAGCTAAGGAAATAGGTCTCTGGGCATCCCCTCCTCTGGTTATAAGTCTGAGGATGTCGGTATTGCCCTCTCTGTAGTAGAATTGATCTCTTAAAGGTTCTTGTTGGATCTGAGTCGGCCTCGGTATTGTTCGTTTGACTTCTTCATTTTCTGATCCTCTATCCATCTCGTGTCGTCTCATAGACTCAGCTTCATGATCGATCATAGCGTTTTCCGGTGTCCACGCTTCTTTTCTACCAAACCACTCAGCTACTTGGACTGATTTGTTTTCTCTGCCCTGACCAGAACCAATTATGTGGATCTTCTCGATTTTTTCGATTACGGGGGTGTCTTTCCTCTTCTTAAAAAGCACATAATTATATAAAGGGCACTGTTTGCAAAGGCAGCAGCAAATAAGAGCTAATAATGCTATTATTAGTATAATGAAAAAGAGGATTAACAGCCATAATAGATTACTGCTATCACTTTCTTTGATTCTAATGATTTCTCGTTCTCGTACTTTATTTTCTTGGTTTTCATTGTCTATGATTCCTATTTCTTTTCCTTGGTTTTCTTTCTTTCGCGAGTTTATGATTCTGTTAATTTCATTGAGATCGACGATTGAGTCTTTGAAGAAAGTTACTGTTGCTTCAACCACACTCCTGTAACATGAGAAATTGATAAAACTCATATCAATTCATGAAAACAGTTTCAATATTAGGTTTAATGTAATGTGATGATATAATCGCAGGTAATATCCCGAGACCATGACAAATAGCCGACTATTATTTTCTTCATAATTCTATCGAGAGTACCTTGTATTTTGACAATTTGATGAGACCATATGAACATTAATAATCTGAATAACTCCCGAGAGCTTCAGCTCGAGGGTGTTATTCTTTGATTATTAATGTTCATATGGTCGAATTGAATTGTCCCAAAATACAAGATACTCGAGATGGATTAAAGAAAATGATAGTCTCTATTTGTCATGGTCGAGTGATATTCAGGAAGATTATTTCATGAACAGTATATAAAAAAACTCCTTAATTTATATGTTTCAACATTTTATTCAAATTATATTTTTACAACCTTGAACTACTTCCAAATAACAAGAACATAAATTAATGATGATAACTGATCATTTGAAATTGAAAATGCAATTATTGTAAGTGATATTCGCACCAGCACCATGGATAATTCCTGTTGGTGACGCTTCCTGTATCTTTTCTTGTATCACCTGTGTTGTTGAAGTTGAAGTTGAAGTTGAAGCCTGCGTTTCTTCTAATTGTCGCATTCTATTTATAATTTTATTGTGGTACTCCTCATCGAGCTGAAGGTAGGGTTTGATAGATGATACATTACTGTGGCCTGTTATTTTCATCAGTTCCTGTTCTTGCACGCCGACCTTTGCTAATTGTGAAACTGCCGTAGAGCGGCTAGAATGATTCGTGATTTTTCTTTTCTTCACATCCAAACCAATACGTTCTGCACCTGCTTTCATCCATTTCGAATATTCGTTTTTCCCGATAGGACAGTTTTTATACCATGCTGATCCCTGTTTTTTCCAATAAGGATTTGGAGTCAAGAAAAGACGATCGCTTGTTATGTGGCTACCTCTCTTGCTGAGAAGTTTCAAGAAAATACGTACAGGACAACGATTCATATTTTGGCTGTTAGATGTAAGCCATTTACTGTCTGCACATTTTCGATTTCCCCCTTGACAAGTTTTTGTAAACACAGGATTATATTCGATCCTGCCAGAATAGGTACCATCATTTCTCATTTCCCTCTTAAAATAATCGATTTTACAATAGATACCTTCTCCTCCTCGCCAGGCCAACTCTACAGAAACAATTTGAAAAAATTTCTTCTGAAGGCCGTCTGGGGTATTTTCATCATAGCTATCTATGATAGCATTCGATTCATCCAAAGTGAGTGCTTCTGAACTTTGCTTTCTTTTTTGAGGACAATTTTGTAGGTTCCGCCTTTTTGCATTGCGCGCATCTCTGGCACCTTTAAATTCTATATCTTCGAATGGATTTATCTTTCGATTGTGTTCGTTGAAGAATACTTCCTGTATGGTTTTCGCCGTAGAATTCCACATTGATTTTACTGTGTATTCTTTATATTCCTCACCATTCTCCTTACGCATATTCCATGCCCAATCTTTCAGAATTTCGGCGATCATGAGAGTTGGAGTATTCGCGCATAACTCATAATTTTTCTGTTGACAAAAAACCATGAATTGTTTCCAGACAGACTCCTTACTTCTTTTTGTATTTTTTGGAATTGATTCACATACATATTCACTGATTTTCGAAGTAGAAGCTGACCCAAAACGCGACATTTCAAATTTGAGTAACTGATATGTCAAACATGTCAAACTTTAACAATCGAAGACTTGGGCCTAGCCATAACACCACAATCTGGGAGTTATTTCCACGGCGGCTAGTGCACAGCAGAAGCGTGTTGGTCAATAGAGCATGGAAAGACCCCTGGTTCGAGTACGTGCTCCAGCTACAGTTTTTTAATTATATTTGGAAGTGATTAATCGAAAAAAATACTATGGAGCCGATCTCGGCTGGAAATTTTTGTGTAGACTGCGTTGCTATAGGTGAAAGTATTACCTCATCTTGGTGCTATGACTAGACGCTATAGCAAATCAAAGCACCCTTATGCTGTCGAACAGAATAGCCGCTCATATCATGTTTGTTTACCTAAATAGCCGCTGATATCGCATATCATGTGACATCAATCATGAAATTTCATAGGTGCAGCCAGGTGTGAATGAAATAATCGAGAATATACAATAATATATACATATTCAAAACATATAAGAACTTTCCAAATATGTATTCTGGCAATGAAGATGGTATCGTTTGATTCTTTAGCGCATTGAAATCATCTATTACTCTTTGAAAGATGTACGTAGTTAAAAACATTATTGTACAAATACCTAGCATGAAGTCATTGGCCAGAGGTACACAAACGAACCAACTAAGTACGTATATCTACATGAACAAGTTCAGAAACCTGGTAAGTGAATAAACTGCGGTGTTTTCATCTGCTGAGAATATCTCTACTATTTCGAGGTATCTGGCGATTCATTGACTAATCTCGATTATCTGAAGGAAATACAAGGGGTGTTTCCGAATGGCATTCACTTATTGAATGCATCAACATAAAACGAAAACATGATGCGAAAAAACAAAACCAGGCAGTACTGAGGTTACACGTCAGACCCCCAACGAGACCCTCTTTCTTACCGGAGGAAACTCTCAGAGGACCCTCAAACCCATCCCGACCTTCTTCTGGAACCACACAGGAGCCAGAGGGCTTACAGAGCACCTCGTTGGAGCTCTTATTCACCACCCAACGATGAAGGATTTTTCCACGGAGCCCCCTGTCTTTCCCACAAACCCTCTTCCTTCTCCCATCTCTAATCCTCCTCAGATCCCCCTAGAAGAAAAGCTGAGGAACGGCAACAGACCTCGGCAGATAAAAGAGTCAAGTGGACGAGAATCAAGAGCCCAATGTTTGTGAGGCTGCGAAGAAGAGGAGGAAGAGAAAGCAACAGCGGGATCTCATGGCTTCTTCAAGGGGAGCTGGTGGTCCTGAAAAGTTGAGTACATCTTCCGATGCTTCCAAGAGAGAATCCACAACAGGGGCCTATCAGATGAACCAGAAATCTGCCTCCAAATGAGGCAGGATACCATGTTCAACTCCAGTGGAAACCAAGCGGAAGTCGAAAAGAATCAAGGGTCGGCAACCCCAGTTAGTAGAGGGCAAACTACGCCCAGGTTGCCACTGGAGATGAAACTTTGTGATAAAAATTTGTCATCGCCCAGGAGGACCAGCCTGAAGAAGGCTTCGGCGAGAACCAACTGCTAGAGTTCCCTGATGCTGTGGGATATGTAATTGCAGATATCCTAGCGGGTAGTACACCTCCACAGTCCCGGTCAACACGACTGTGGAGAATGCAGCTTTTGGTTACAGCTACCAACGAATATTCGAAGAAATGGCTCACCAAGGAATTGAAGAACATTAAACTCTGGAAAGACTTCACTGTTATTGTCATAGACCCTACAAGGCTCAAGCTACAGCAATGTTGTGGATCCCTGGCGAGAGGTTTCTGCCAAACTATGAAATGTTCAGAAGGTTGGGATAGCAGAATTCGAGCCTCTTGGTATCTGCTTGGAGAATCTGGTAAAGAGAGGAGGAGAAGCAAGGACTTCGCCTCGTGATGGGTTTGAAAGGAATATCTATGAGGCTCTTCTGATCAAAGCGTAAGAACCTCACGAGGTAGGTATCACTGAAACAGTAGCCGAGAAGGCGCTCGCTGAAACGCGAGTCGGGAAAGGAAGATGAACTTCTGGAATCGATGCTCCTATACATGAAACTGGAGTATCGTCAGACGATACCTCCAGGAACGACATGGTAGGGGGAACTTCCTCGAAGATCTCCTGCCGGCCAGAATTTGCAGAGCACATCAGAGATGTGCCACTGCAAATAAACCCGCTGCACGTACAACAGTATGCCTGGGATGTCCACAAACGTGGTCATTCACCATCTGGCCCATAAGATAAAAAGAGTGCTAGCCGGTAAACGCTCAACCATGAGAATCTTCTCAAACATAAAAGGAGCATTTGAAAATACGTCATTTGAATCGATATTCCATGCCACGGATAGACATGTGGTCCATCTAACTTTGACCAGGTGGATTAAGGCCATGCTATCGCAGCAAGTGGTGACAGCAGAACTATGAGAGAGATCAGTTGCTGCCAAGGTATCAAGATAATGCACTCAAGGAGGGATTTTATCACCACTGCTGTGGTGCCTGATAGTGGACGAGCTCCTTATAGATTTGAATAAGCCAGGGCTATATACGCAAGCATATGCAGATGACTTAGTAATGATGGCCCAAGACCAATCGGCTAACCAGCTAGGGAACCCAATTATGGGAGCTCACAATGAAGTGGAACAGGAGTGTTCCTCCATTCACTAATTAATTCAAAATCGGTACACTTTCAGATATATTTCTCTCGGAAAAGTATCATCAAAGTACCCTCGAGTTTCAATAATAGACTCTAAGCTCACTTGGAATGAGCACATTTCAAACCGCACTAAGAAGGCAATATGCTGCTTCCCGGAAAGCAGACGAGCCCATGGAAAACATGGAGTCTTACTCCTAAGACCCTTCACTGGATATACACAGCGGTGATTCGCCGAGCACTGACGTTCGGGTCCGATGAGAACAATACCAGAAGAAAACTTGATTAAGTCTAGAGACTGGCCTGTCTGGGAATAACAGGTGCCCTGGAAACGATGCCTATCAGAGCTCTTGAAGCTCTGTTGACCCTACAAAAAAAAGTAACGCAGACCCAGTGGAAGGAAAGAAATATTTCAAATTATTCCTAGAACGGTAATTTCGTCATTAATCACGATTGACACAATGATAATTATCATGACAATTCAATTCATATATGAAAAATTCCACAAGCTGCGTGATTTTGTTATTATGATAGCAAAAAAGTTTGGCCTAACTTAATCATTAACAATAACGGAACCTTACTTTTGAAAGCATGACAACCAGCCATAAACGAATGTTTGATGAATCAAATTGTCTTGCCGAATTACACTCTTGCTTTTTGGTTAGTCGAAGTAAACTTGGCATTTATAATTCGAATTTGGTTGCCATTAGCTAATTCAACTCAAAACTGCCAGAAAAAATTACGAGTCCGCAGGACGAGTAATTTCTCCAGAGGCAGTTTTTTTCGTCAAATTGCCAGGCAACAAAATTCTCATTGATACATGTCAAGTTCACTTCGACAAAAAAAGCTCTCGTGTAATTGTAAGTGAGAATTATATTTTGAATCTGATCATTGAATCTGAATTCTATTCACATTTTCCAAATATGTTTATCCTTAGAATATCGATAAAAGTTGGAAATTCACTCAACAACTCAACAATATTTTCGCACTACTAGATTCATCATCGGAATTTCCTAAACGATTTACCTTTCTCCTTCATATGTATTACTAACATACATTGCACCGGGCTCATCACCAGTATAAGGTCTGATATTCTGAATGGATACTATTCCTCCAGTCAATGTTCTCAAAGTCTCGGCCACCTTCACCCTATCAGGATTCGTTCCGGGCACAATGAATACCATTTTCCTAGCTTGCCCTTCTGAAGGATATATTCTTATTTCACATTCGCTGGACAACCTTGGCACTCCTCCATCCCAAACTCTCGCCCTCAAAACAGTCACCTCACTACTTTTCCAGATTCCGGTAACAGTCAGTTCTCCAGATTTTTCGTCAATATATAAATTATTTGGAATATTCAAGATTTCATAATGGACCTCGTTGTTTGGTGGGCTGATATCTTTGTCTGTAGCTCTGATTATAGCAGTATTAGTAAAACCAATCTTATCCTTGTTCAATATGAATTCATATATTGTCTTTTCGAATAGCGGTATGTTATCATTGATATCTATCAAACTGATGGTCACCAAACTTGTTATTCTCAGTCCTACACCATTGTCGTCTATTGCTTCTACCATCAATCTTAATAATGGTTTTGATTCAGCGTCTAGATTCACAGAATCAGCAACAGCTATCAATCCTTTATCTGGATCCAAACTAAATAGCTCTTTGCCGGTACCAACCAATTTCGTATAACGTATTTTGCTCTTTGGATCCTTATCTCCATCCACAGCTTCCACAACTAAAACATTGGTACCAACTTTTGCATGCTCCTGTACGCTAGCGTAGTATTCTTGTTGGGTGAATTTGGGAGGATTGTCATTAACATTATTCAATAGTACGCTCAGCTTTGCTCTTGCTGTGTAGTTTCCAGCACCCAATTCTTTGGCAACGATATAACATTCTACTGATTGTCGGGATTCGTAGTCGAGTAGTTTTGGATCGTGGACAGAGATGAAGAATTTCGAGTGGCCGCCGATAATTGTTGTTGGGCTTATGTCGAAGGTGCCTACAATTAGGTACCTGTGATTAGTGTAGTCCGAATGAATCAACTTCGTACTTTATATACATTATAAACAGTGCTTTCCTTCAAACTTGGGATAATGATATTGATGCATGAATACTATATTTTTAAGTTATATTGACAGATGAAAATTTCAAGATGGCGACTGGGTGCCATCTGCGAAAATAATTCGAATGGAAAGGGAGGTCTTATGACATATATTTTTGAATCTTCTGATGAATACTCCACAACCTTAGAGAATGAGGTCAATATCTTAATCTACTATTGAATTGCAGAACAGTTAATAGTTGCCTGAGTACTAATAACACATCGATATGAATATTGTATATTTCAACGAAATGGAGCACCACCATATCACTTCAAACCATTGGGATGATACTTTTTCCGGTCGTTGAATTGACCGTCGAGGTCCTACAAAATTGCCAGACCGCTGCCAGATTTGCTCCTTTAGACGTTTTTCATGGGGCTATTCAAAGCAAAATGTGTACGAGACTGCACCTCCTACAATATCAGATATACGACAAACAATTATAAATATTTGTAGAAAGTGTTCGGCTGTTGATTTCACTACAAAATATAGTATTCATGCATCAATTTTATAATACAAAGTTTCCATTTTTTCAGTCGACTCGTTCAAGACATAAAAGGAAGACAGGGTATATGCAAGGTTTCCCAAATATGAATACCTTAAATTCAGTGCAGTATTGACAAATCATCAATATTTTATATGTGCTCTTCGCATATTGGAAGGATCATCGAACACGAAACTAAGATTAAATTTTCTGAGAATTCCAGATTATTCTGTTGTTTCATTGTTCACAAAGTTGTGTACGGCAACACAATTGAGTTAACAATGAGAGACAGAATTATGAGGAGATTTTCAGAACATTCTGGTATTTCGTTAGACTCTTCACGTTCACGAAAGTACAGCCATAATTATTTTATGTCGAACTGACTGAGTTTTCTTTGCTATCCATGGTTACATCCAGACTTTGATTTGCTATCGACGGTTACATCGTTGGAAACATGAACGCAATCAGACCAATCCGAGCCAGTTTATGCGATGAGTGAAATAGTCATTGTAATTTTCAATGTTATCATTTCATTTGCTCATTCGTCCAGGCAATCAATGCCGGCGATGCTATGCTTGGGGCGTTTTGTACTGATAATCTTTTATATCTAGGAATTATGATTGAATGAGGGCAGTAGCTTGTGGTTACAGTTTGTTCCACTTTAAGAAGCGATAATTATTCATTCGATAACAAGTCGAATTTTAGGAAACCTCGTTTTTTGAATATATACTTCGAAGGCTCTATCACTTAATATGCATCATTTCGAGACATACCTTTTCCATGGCCTTTCCTACGATAATAACTGGAAGCCCAAGTATGACAAAAAAATATCAGTGATTCTTTCACGATGAATACAAGTATTTTCTTCGATTTAGACACATCTGAAACCCGCACGAACCCCAAGTTTCAATATCATAACTTGTAGGTACTGAGTTTTCTGTATGGCAATAGTACGAATGTGATATATTCCGATAAATTTCCCAAAATATCATTTCAAATATTTGATTAATAGTTGAACCTTGACTGTTCTTGATACATATCAACTGTGTTGAATTTCGAGAGACCTTGAAAGTTTTCCTCAACTTCCTCGTCTTCAGATTCACAAGAAAACCTAGTCGAATATGGATAAAAAGGAACTTGAATAATAATGAGAAATCGAACATATGGAGTGAACTAACGAAGGAGCTGTAGACATTTGATGTTGAAGTTGGAACTTGTTTAATAATCCTTCAGCAGAATTCTAACTCTGATTGGAACCTGAAGAAAATTTTCTTTGAATTGTTATGAATACCTTATTCCTCAAACTACCTACCAGAAAATTGAAATTATTCTGCCAGGTGTGACCCTTATCGTCGCACTTGGTATATTCACACAACTTCGTCACTTCCGTTGTGTTAAAGGTCCCTGAAAACAAGCAAGGATCACTTGATGGATGAAAAAATAGTAGAATGTCGACATTGAGCACCTTAGCACTTTACGTACTTTCCTGATCACTTGGAATGTCAATCTGAAGAAATATCAATTGGTAGCATATCGAACATTATCACCTCATTTATGGCTTGACGAATGAGTATATTTACTCAAATTTATTGATTCTTCGTGTACATTTTCAAGGTTGAGTACACAAAAGATTGAAATTTCAAATAGTCATACTACTTTTTCACTTGAAGTCATCTATAAAAGGTCATATTGAGAAATCGTGGTCAATAGAATAGACATATCCAAAAATGATACCTTATGTGAATCTCGGATGTAATCAGCAAATATCTAATGTTGGAAGTTAGACACAAATATCAGGAAAGCCAATTAAAAAAAACAGTGTTGCATTGATACCCATCAGCAAACATTGAACTAGCGGGAGAAGTCCGGCCTAGTGCAGGCTAGTCTGGGAAAGTGACGATACCGGGGTATTGGTAATAGTCCGATAAATTTTCTATGCCAAGTAACCATCAGTTAAAAATACGATGATGGCCTAGTAATGGTGAGATGTCTGAAAGTAATTGAATACTTACGAGATCTGGCCCTATGCTGGCCAATTTCATGTTCGCTACTCGTCCCCCTGGTGGATGTTCTGGGAACGTCTACATCAACAATCAGCTGATCAATATTAAATGTGACTATAAGATGGCTGACTCTCGTGAGTGGTGATCGCGTACCTACTGGTTTGTTTACGTCGAATTAATGTTGTCCTCTCTTTCCCTGGTGGTTATTTATGATGACAGGAGCATTCTCAATTAATAATAGAAGACGGATTCTACAATTATGATAATATTGAGTAATATCATTCAACCTATATAGAGTTTCGACTTTCATTATTGAATGCATGTGTTTGGTATCTCGTAACCTCATATACCTAATGATCATAATAATTGGAGTTGGCTATATACTTCTTCAGAAGCCACTATCATTTTTAACTCGTTTGTTGCTATCAAAAGAAATCTTAGGTTATATGAACCTGTCTCCATATTGAAGAACTGAATAACAAGGTTTCAGCTACAGAAATACCTGTGCTAAGTAAATAATGGGAATTGAAAAGCTCCATGTTATCACGTCATCAGACTATATTATCAAGTTATGAACTTATGCAACTCATGGGCCACTCATATGACTAATGATTCATGTTATATTCCAGAAGTACCGTATCAATGTTCGTATGTTATACATAAACTATATTGATAATCATCGAAATACAAATCCCTTTGCAATGCGCTCGTGTGGTTTCCAAGCGACATGATTTGTTTCGAAAAAGAGAATGAAATTTCGATAATCACCAATGGAACGAGTTGTATTTGTTTATAGTATTACTCATTCTTTCATGATGAAACAATAATTTCATCTTGTATTTCAATATAAAGTCGTTCCGTACTGCATACTAGCATAGATACATACATTCATCAACAAATTTAGGGCATGATCACTGACAGACACTCACTTCACTATAACTGTTCCAAGGATTGTCAGATTTGGAATTATGTTATGATTAGGAGGTTATCAATTTACTTATGAGTTTATTAGGTTGATATTGAAAGTATTCTGAATGCCAATCATAAAAATTTTTGAAATTCTTCGATGCAAAATAAAAGTAAATGCCTATAACGATTTTGTGTTGAGTTCCTGAATATGAAAATATTACGACATCCATGACAGCCTGCTGCTGGTGAGTCATTTTGTTTCATATCCGATCAAACTAACAATATGAAAGTGAAATACGAAATCAAAAACACAGCATAATGAGTAACCAGTGTCCAATCAACTGCCGATATACAAAATCGGAAACATAATTCTTCCTATTATCAACACATTTGAACTACAAAAAAGCCAAATACCAAAAGTGGAATTCAATGGTGAAAAAGAGGAAGAAAATCACTGTCATTACCACAACAGTTCATAAAATAGCAGAAAGCGAGAGAAAAACAACTACCTTCTTGGCTATATGCCACGCAGAACATTGAATTACATTCTTCCGATGTATATGCGACGATTCGTAGAGATGAATACAGCTGCAATTTTTTCCTAAATGTCGAGCTGTGCTCCTGTTGAGGAACGCTTGACTACCTGCAGACCGATTTCGAACTTTCGGTTCATCAGTGCAGGGGTGTCCCATATTGCATTCATGACCGTCATCTGGTGAGAACCTGACCAAACATAAACTCATCCCAGCATTCATAACCCACGAGCCGTTCGGCATCAGCGAGATGGACACGAACACCACATGAGAAGAAAGGAAGGAACATTCCAAAACAAATGTCTATTTCAGATAATATGGGTGTGGCTGATTGTCCGATTGGCGTTTTTTGAACTAGGAAGAAGTCAAATACTCAAAGTGGCATGCAATGGTCACAAAGAGGATGAAACTCAAAACGAGAGGAAAACAACTACTCTCCTGGCTAATATATGCCCCGCAAAGCAATGAATAACATTCTTCCGATATCTATGCAACGGTTTGTGAAGACGGATACAGCTGCAAGTGATTATCTCCTGAATGCCGAGCTGTGGATAACATCTTCAACGAAACTATTGATTTTTGGTACAGGTCTCCTCTACATGAATTCGTACACTACTGGAGGACGACGATAATCAGAATGAAGATACTCCAATGGCTTTTTAAATTTCATAGTTGTATATCGCTACTTCGTAGTTGAAAACCAACTCCCCAGAAGTCGACACAGTCAAAACTCATTATTAAGATTTGATGACACTGTTAACTCAATTCGAGGACACTTTGTTGTAGCATATATACCAATCCCTAACAATTTGAATGAAGCGACACTATGTAATGCGCGCATGTCATCCTCCCTACATACTAAATTACCAGAGGTCAAATATATAAAAATGTCCGATACTACTTGTGATGCGTTCTTCTAACGATCAAAATCGAAGTATATTCTTGTATGATTCAAACCATCAGAGAAT